CATAGTCTGTCCAGATCCTTTTGGATCTGGAGTACCTGCTCCTCAGTTGTGGCCACTGCTCCAGTTTTAGTGTCGTCTGCGAATTTGATCAGCAGACTGGTCACCCCTTCTTCCATGTTGCTGACCTGGGTACTCCCCGGGGGTTTGTGCCTGCAGCAGCAAGGCCTGTGCCTTTCAGGTGCTGAGATCCCAAGAGCTGTTGGCCAACGCAGCAGGCAGCTCGGGCGGCCGCCTGGATGCACCGTGGGCCCCCTGAGTGGGACCACAGCCCTGAACGCCTCAGGCCAGCCCCGCTCCTCACACGTCTTTCCCAGCCCTGCAGGGATGGTGTCCGGGCCCTTCTGCACACGCGGAGCAAGCACCGCCATGTGGTGACGGACTCTGCCCCGCCGCCGGGAGCAGGCATTGTGGCGAGCCCCCTCCCTCCCCCCCAGTCACTTCTGGGTTGGCAGCGTCCCTGCAGCCCCCGGGACCGCTCCTCCTCGGCTTCTCGGTCAGCCCTCTAGAAGGTCTCTGTGACAAAGACTCCAACAGAGCTGTGCGTCAGCAGCACTTCTTGCAATCACCCGTCAGCAGAGGGCCGGCACCACCTCGTCTTGGTGCTTCTGCCCTTTTCCTTTGGAGGAGGAGGAGGAGGCCTGGGTTGCCTCTAGAGCCGGCGTCCTGTCCTGCCCCTCGCCTGTTCACAGCACAGCACAAACACTGCCGTGCATGTTGCAGGGCCTTCTCTGCGGTGGCCCCCAACTCTGAAATACACTGCCCAGAGAAGTTCGCCTGGCACTGATGTTACATGCATTTCGACATCAGCAAAAACCTTTTTATTTCCCTGTCATTTTAATGTTTAATTGTCTTAACTAGTCGGATGCTGTGGTCTTTTGTTTTATTCCATTGGTTTTGTATCACAAGCCGTCCCGAGTGGCTCGTGGCAGACAGGTTAGGAATGCTTTTAATAAATAATAAACGTGCCCGTCTTGTCGCACCAGCACGAGTCTTCAGATGGCTTTACAAGTGAGCAGAGCCCTCTCCGTGTGGACGGGGGAATCCCGAGCTGCAGAAAGGCAGTTGCGTGTGGAAAACCCATCCCTGACGCACAGCTTGTGGGGCATGTACACCGCATGATCCTGTAGGGGCGGGAGAAGAGAGGCAGTGGGGCTTGAGGGGAGCGCCAGCTGCTCAGGAAACACCGTCCGGGCATGCGGCAACGGAGGCAACATTGGCCTTGTCATCGGCCTTTGTTTCTGGCTCCTTCTGGAACCAGCGCAAGACTCAGGTGTGCTTAGGGGAGCGGGAGCCTATTTCAGATTCCTGCTGGCACGGCGTGAAAATGCCTGCCTGCGCCAGGGGCAAGGGGAAGTAATGAGAGAGAACCCCGTTTTAATTGAACTTTTGTATTTGTTATGGGAGCAATTAATTCTCTGAGGAACAAGGGGCTGCAAGCCAAAGATTTTGCTGATGCGTTTGAATCACCCTGCAAAATGCCCCCCTTCTGCTCCTGCTTCCGTCAACTTCACTCAGCAGCTCCTCCGGCTTCGGAGCACGAGGGGAGACGAAAACTCCTGCTCCGTGTGTGGCTGCGGAATTTCGTTCTGTCCGCATTCAGTCCTCCTGTGTGCCACTCAAACCGGGGGAGTTTCTCATAATCATTTGGGGTTTTGAACACGAGAAGTTTGAGAAACGGATGAGAAATTAATCGCGGTTCATCTTTTGATCAGGGCTGATCTAATATCAGCCAAACCAGCCTCCGATGCAATCTGAGTTTCCAGCTGAGCAGGGCAATGGCTGAACCCCTGCTGGGAACCCCCAAATTGGGCTCTGCCTCATTTGCATTTGGAAGATGGGCTTCAAAAGTAACTGCTTTTGAAAAATATGCATGCACACAGTTTAATTGATGGGCGAAGAATGCCTGCACCCCGAAGAAACTCCCACGTGGAAATACAAACAGGTTTTCCTGTGGAAAAGGAAGACGCAGAGCTCGCAATCTGATACAGTCGAGTCAGGATGAGCTTCCAACTGGAATCGGGAGAACTTTGGCAAGCCGGAGATTTGCTGGGTGCAGATCCTTGCTGGTGCCTGGCCCCAGGGTGAGATCCATCCCCACTCTCAGCTGAGCCGAGGGTCTGTAGCCAAACGACCACCCCCAGGAAAGCTAGCCAGCTGAGCTGGCCAAATGCCGCTCCATCTGGAGAGAAACTGGGAGCACCCCAAACAAGGCACTGGCTTCCAGCGGTGTGTGTGTGTTGGGGGTGTCCCCCAAGTACCCAGAAGAGGGCTGCGGTGAACCCCACCGGAGCCCGTCTCTCCCCGCTTCCCCTTGTGCTTGGCCTGGCCTTCCACAGCAAGCCGGGTGGGGGAGTCTCGGCATGGCCGGCAGAGGCCCAGCTGCGTGGCCGGCGGCCCCAGGGGCGGCCGCAGCCGGCACGAAGAGGGGCTTTGCTTGCACGGCTGCTGTGGCAGCTCTTTTCCTGGCGAGCTCCCCCTGCCCGGCCTTCTTCGGTGTCGCTCGCAGCTGCTCCTGGCATGCGGGGGGCAGCTTGTGCAGTGGGTAGGAAAGGATTCCTAGTGGGCGCTCCGTGAACCCGGGCACACTTGCTGGGCTGCTGCAAAGGGGACCAGAATCCGGGGAGCCGACCCGGGGAATCTGATGCATTCCCGCCCTGGTGGATCCCTTCCCAGAAGTAAACAGGTCTGTAAGCCATCCCAGGGCTGCCACGAGCCACTGAATATCGAGGTTGGCGGCTGGACTATGGATGGCCAGGGAGCCTGTTGCGGGGGGACTGGTCCGATTGGCTTATCGTCCCCCGGAGCTCCTGGGGCTGCCGCAGCTGCTTGGCCAGAACAGTCCTCTGGTTAGGGGTGAGGACATCTTGCCCCGGGCCCCACAGGTGCCGGAAGCATTCCAGAGCTCGAAAGTGGGGGTTTTCTGTGCCCGTGTCCATTCTGAACTCCTAGTATGCCGAAGCCTCCTGGGAGCAGAGCAGCGGCTCTCCTCTGCGAGAGAACGTGAGCGGGCTGCTGGGCCGGAGGCTGCTGGTGACCACAAGCAGAGCCGCCAAGGGCGGCGTTCAGAGGATGGGGGAGAATCCTGTGCGCAGACGTGGGCCTGCGCTGAACTTCAGAGAATGATCGAAGAGCAGAGCTGGAGGGGGCCAGAAGGCCATCCAGTCCATCCCCCTGCTGGTGCAGGACACCAGGTCACACCACCCCACTCAGGTGGCTGCCCAGTTTCCCCTTAAATGTCCCCAGTGTGGGAGAGCCCCCCACCCCTCCAGGCAGCCGGTCCCACTGCCGTATTGCTCTGACCATGAGGAAGCTTTTCCTGATGTCCAGCCTGAACCTGGGTTGTCGCAGCTTGACTTGATTACTCCATGTCTTGCACTCTGGCATCAGCAAGAAGAGATCTCGACCTTCCTCTTTGTGGCAGCCCTTGAGGTCCTGATAGAGGGGTCTCATGTCCTCCCTCGGTCTTCTCTTCTCAAGGCTGAACATGCCCAGTTCCCCCAGTCTCTCCTCACAGGGCAGCGCTTCCAAACCCTGGATCACCTTTGTTGCCCTCCGCTGGACCCTTTCTAATTTCCCTGCATCCCTCCCAAATCTTGGTGCCCAGAACTGGACAAGGACTCCAGGGGAGGCCTGACCAGTGAGGGCTAGTCTTGCTTCAGCAGCTTTCAGCTGAAATGTGGGACTGCCGGATTTGCCAGTTCAATCTAAAACAGATTCCGTTCTGTTTTAGTCTATTTTTTTTAAACCTGCAATATACTTCATGTTTGTATATGGATATCCATTAAGGTGAGCTATTTGCAGTATCTCTGTGAAGAACATCTGATCTATCCTTTGTGAGGTGGTTGCCAGGAGCAAGTCTGTGCCGCTAACATTTGTATTGCATTTGCAAAACGCTCGCTCTGGAATAATCTAGTAAGACATTTTGTCCAGCCAGCACAATAAAAGAAAATCAGCTGAATACTCCAGGGAGATTATTACATTCTTCCACCTTTACTGGCCCCTTCCTCCCTTTGCTCTGACAGCAGAGAACCTCAGGAACTAACTGTGAGAATTTCCTCACAATTCGTGCAATGCCTACAGTCATTCCCATCAGCCACAATCCCCACCAGGACCGGTCTCCATAAACTCACTGAAAGTTTGGTTGCAAATTTGGCAGGACCGCCCAAAGGCGTGAGGTGACCCCAGCTGAGTTGGGATAATCTTGCCTCCCAGATGTTGCTGTTTTGTTCTAGAGATGTTTTGAGGTACCTCTTGTGAAAGGTGCTTCTGTTGACCTAGAGGTCACTCAGTGCTTGGCAACAGCGCCTGAAACACCTTCTCAATTAACATGCTTCTTCAGCTCGCCATCGCAAGAAACATCAGAGACACACTGCAGCAGGAGCATCCTCAGTGTTGTCCATATTCACACACACACACACACACAAACAAAACAAAACTAAACGTCCTTTTGCAAGTATTTCTAACTACTTCATGAAGATATTTTTGAATCTGAGGGAAATTCCAGGGGAGAGAAACAAACAGAATTCTCATGCATCAGAGCCAGCAAAATTCAGTGGCCACCTGTGTCACAAGAAGGACCTCTTTCTATCTGCCTGCCCTGTGGGGCTCTTAAATATAAGAAGCCTGCCAGAGAAAAGGGGTGGGCAGCCCGAGTTTAGCATCACAAATGGTGAACACGTGGGGATCGGGTACCAGACTTTTTAAGTGCTAAACATTCCAGTCCTCTTGCTGGATGGGTGGGTCACCAATGTCGCAATCTCTCACAATTGCTTTTTTAATCTTACACTATTTCCATCCCATTTATGGAACAAATCTGTTCATTTTGGCAAGTTCTTCTCAAAACATCAAAGAGAATCACACTCATCGCGAGAAACGCGCGCAGGGGCTCTACGCGTGCAGCCATCCCAGAGAGAGTCGGCTCAAAGTGTATTGTGTGTGCGCTTCTCTGGGGGCTTCCAGCGCTGCTGAACGCCTGCCTCCCCCTTGCTGTGTGTTTCCAGATTTGGATGACCCGGTCGTGACCGTCCACCAGAGCATCGGGGAAGCCAAGGAGCAGTTCTACTACGAGAGGACCGTCTTCCTCCGATGCGTGGCCAATTCCAACCCCCCCGTGCGGTACAGCTGGCGGCGAGGGCAGGAGGTGCTGCTGCAGGGCTCCGATAAGGGGGTGGAGATCTACGAGCCCTTCTTTACGCAGGTAGGAATCAAGGTACAGTCGTGTTTATTATTATTATCGTTGTCGTCGTCATCTTCATCACCATCAGAATCACCACCAGGATGAGCGATCCCCCCCCTGCACCGTCACTTTAGTGCTGCAACCTGCCCCACGGGGGGGGGGATGCAGTGGGGCCCCCATCCATCCACCCACCCACCCATCCTTCCTTCCGTCCTTCCTTCCTTCCGTCCTTCCTCCCTCCCTCCCTCCCGTCAGCCGGTCCGTCGCAGCTTCTCGTATAGGAGCTCTCCGTGGTGCTGAATGGCATCCCCTCAGCAGCTTCACCACCACGGGCACCCAAGGCTGCTCCTCGAAAGCTCGCGTGAGGAGCCCCAGTGCCCTGGGAGCTGCTGCCCCTGCCCGCCCTGCCTCTAGGCAGGATGTGGGAGCTGAGGCATGCCTGGGGCAAAATATCTGCATTTTGCACGACTTCGAGGTCCATTTTTGGGCTCCATTGAAGATGGCGGCTTCCATGCTCAAAGCGGGGATCCCAGATGGCACCCACACTGCCCCGATCCTGCCTAGAGCCCCAGTCTGGCCTCCTGGGGCCCCTGAGAAGGTCAGCAGCCTCTGCCCCACTTTCTCCTCCCTGTGCTCACTTGGCGGTTCCCTCCCTGCATCTGAAAAGGTCGAGGTGACTGCCTCTTAAAGCTGAGCTCTTCGGACCACCTCCCCTTGCAGGGGAGGCACGAGGCTTCCCAGCATGAGGCAGCTGATGGGAGAACCGGGGCGCAGACCATGGCGCTGTTGGCAGAAGATGTGGGGCGAGTCGGATCGAGCGCAGGCTGGGGCCCTGTTGAAAGCCTTCCGCCAGCAGCGAGGGCGGGGAGAGACGGCCGTTCTCTGCCCCTTTCGTGCCTGCTCAGGATCACCCGGCGAGGCGTCCTCAGGTAGCCGGGGCCTGCGAGAAGAAGAGGCGGCGCACCCAGTGCCCAGCGGGGGGCTTTGCAGGCAGTCGGCCAAGCCAAGCCACGCGGACGCGCGTGCCATGGACGGTAGAGGTCCCCGGGGCACCACGGGCCCCTGGGAGTCTAGTTGCAATGGATGCTTCTTGAACTGATACACCTGAGAGGTGCAGACAGGCCCCCAGGAAAGGTGAGGCATCCCACTGAAATGTGGGACTCTTCTCCCACCTGGCTGTGGGTCAGGCATAGATTCCTAGGGGTGTGCTGATGCTGGGAAGCTGTTGTTGTTGTTGTTGTGTTTCTGTCTTACGCAGGAGCTGAAGCTGCCTGTGCAGCTCAGTTGGATTATTTGAACTCAACAGGCTTCCTGCCCCTTTGATAGGAAATCGGCCAAGTTAGGCTTTTCCTTGTTGACTTCCATCTCTGAGACAGAACATTTTTGGAAAAGAATGCTAAGGAAATTTGTGCAAATTGCACTATTTGTATGATTGGTGCAATTTGGAAGCCAGAAGGCACCTAATTCTGGTGCAATTTGCACAAATCATGCTAGAACTCATAGTTTTGACTCTCTTTTTTTGTTTATATAAATTCTTTATTGTGCATTTCAAAAGCTTATAACAAAACAAAAAGAACAAAAGACATAAAACTGAATGAACAAAGAAAAATAGCTGCATTGCCTAAAGATTAGGTGAAACTGTCGTAATGAATTCATAAGAAATTCATATGCCTTTAGCTATCTAAAGTAAGATACTGCCGGCACTAGAAGTAGAAGAGTCGGCAAAGGCGAGGCAAATATCCTTATATTTATCCATGCACAGGTGAGGTCTAAATTCTACCAATTCGGAGATTGGAAAAGGGTTGTTATTTATCTTTCCAGTGCTTAATATCAGTCCTGTAACTGCTATTTAACAGACAGAGCATAGGAAATTCATTTATGGCTTTTGGATGCATGTGGGATCAAATGTGTTTGTTGCAAAGGATCAGGGAGACAGTTCTGTAGACCCTGCACTTCTGTTGATGTTAAATGGGCTTCCGATGGAGAATTCCAGGGTCTCCTAACCTCCTCTCAATCAGGGGCAGAGGTTGGGCATTGCCAGAGCATATGGGTGAAAAGCGCATTCGTTTGGCCCACCGTCAGTCAACTTAACCAAGCCTCTCTTTGGAACAGATGGCAGGGCACCCAGTGTATGGGGAACAGAATCTCTCCTGCATAAGATGCACCGAAATATCTGTGGATGCTTCCCAAAGGGATGCTAGCGCGGCATCCCACTGACTGGGAGAGCAGAGCGCTGGCGCCATTGCTCTGCTCTTGGGGCTTGTTGCAAGGCGCCGGGGCCAGAGAGGAGGCACGCTCTTCCCTTGCCTCCATCGCTTGGCTGCTTCCAGCAGAAATCAAGGCGTTGGCCCTCTAAAGCCTGGAACCAGGCTCTGAGAAGAACGCGGCCACCCTCTCGCCCCAGGCCGAGAGGGTCGGCCACTGGCCGGGGGCTGCTCGTGTGCCCTCTTGCCCCCGAGCAGCCCCGGCACCGTCTCCAGGTGCAGCAGGGGAGCTCCCCGAAGGAGCGGTTGGGGATGCCGCACGGGGGCTCACGCGTGCTGGCGCAAGGTCGATGCATCAGGCCGCCCCAGAGAGCGCGCTGCGAAACCGAGCGATGCGCGCCTTGGGCGGTGCAGAGTAACAGTGTCCTTTTCCGGCAGAGGAGAGCGCTCTGGGAATCTTCTCTCCGGGCGAGAGAATATTTGCCGCCGGTCGGAGGCTCGCCCCTCTGTGTGCATTTCACCCCAGTGCCTCTCCGTCTCCCTCGGCCTCCAGTTGGCCACGGATTGGGGCGCTCTGGGCAAGCTCCGTGCTCTGCCAGCCTGCACGTTCTCGCCCCCCTTCTCCTGAGAGTCTGGACTTTGCTTTACCTCTGTAGCTCTCCAGGGAGACCTCCTGCACGCCTTTAGGCAGGAAAAGCCCAGTGTCCCCCAGGAGGGGAGGGCACGGCGGGTGGCTCCCCACCCGTTCAGTCTGGGTAGGGGGCAGGGAGTCCTGCAGCTGCCCCAAGAGCCCTCTGGGGCAGCCCAGGAAGGCTCTGCTTCAGCCTCATGGCCTCTTTTGCCCCACTGCAAGGCTTCTCCTACTGTGAATGGGGGGGGGGTGCCTCCTTTATCTTTACATCTGATCCCAGAAAGAATCCCCGCCCCCCGCCCAGTCCGTGTGTCCGTGTGCTTTCTCCACCTGCTCTCCGTTTGTGCAGTCGGGAGGTATTTTCTGGATGTGCCCCAGAGTGGATGAGGCTGTGGATATTTATTTATTCATTTATCTGGGGACTGGGCAGCAAAGCAGGTGAGAAAACCCCCTCATTTCCTGAGTTCAGAGTAAAAGGGGAATCCCTAAAGGACGACCAGCTGCCTGGAGAGGTGGGGGGCTCTCCCACCCTGGGGACATCCAAGGGGAAACTGGGCAGCCCTCTGAGTAGGATGGTGCGACTTGGTGTCCTGCAACAGCAGGGGGTGGACTAGATGGCCTTCAGGGCCCCTTCCAGCTCTGCTGTTCTGTGAGTCTGCGATCCTGTGATCCAGGGAGGCCACTGCTCCCTCTCGCCCCTTTGTCCCTGGCGTTGCTTTGCCGGCTGCCGCCAGTGCAGCATCTGGGAGCTGCCACGGCCTGGGGTCCCTGCCAGACTGCAGCCCTGGGGCCTGAGCAGGGACACACCTGGCCACACGTGCCGGTTCCCCAGCCGAGCGGCCACAGGAGGAGGCCAATGAGACGCTGAGCACAGGGCCTGCCACCGGGCGCAGGACAACTTGCGGCTTTCTTGGGTACTGTAATTGCCAACCGAAGGCTTGGAAAGCCCCGCCCTTGCATTCTCGATTACCTTGGCAGCCCTCTATCGCTCCGATTCAGTGGCAACACCTTGCTGGAAAACAGGCCGGCTGGACCCTCGGGGGGAGGGGCTTGGGGGCCTCTTGTGCCGTGATCTTGGGCTTCCTGCCTCAGCATCCGTCTTTCCAGGGCTGGAGTAACTGGCGTGCTCTGCGGAATAGGAGCTGCACCAGGCTGAGGCTCCCAGCTAGAACTAATTACCTGGAACAATCCCACTGTCAAAGCAATGCGCGTTGCTGGGTTCAGCAAAATATTTTTTCCGGAATAGGAGCAATTGCAGCAGCAACCACAAAAACTGCATTGTGCTTGTTCCTCTTCTGATTCTTATTCCTTTCCTTTCCTTGCCTTTCCTTTCCTTTCCTTTCCTTTCCTTCAAATCATGCCATGGTGCAGAAAAAGTGGAGAGGGAGACATCCCCCCCACTCGCATAATACTAGAGCCCAGTGGGGTCTTCCCCGAAACTGGCTGGTGGGAGATTCAGGGCAGAGACAAGCAAGGACCGCTTCACACAACCGAGAGCAAAACTGCAGGCGTCCTTCCGTGAGATGCAGCGACTGGAGGCGTTCGTGGGAGCCCCGCTGGCTTCGGGTTCCCTCTGGTGTCAGAGGCAGCGGGCCTGAGTCCCGGAAGGAGCCCACGAGGGTCTGCAGACCCCCGGAGTGCAAGCAGCCCCCTTTGCAGCTGCCGTTCCCGGTGGCCGGCCTTCTTCCTCGCTTGCTGCCCCCACCGGCGCGCACGGGAAAGGGACACGGCGAGCGAGCAGGGGTGCCTGCCATGGCCCCTGGGGCCGCTTTCTCCCCCGCCTCTCTCTGCTTGCAACGGCATGCGGGAAAGGGGTGCGGCGAGCAGGGCGCTGTTCCCGGCAGCCGGACTTCTCCGCTCGCTGCCCAGCACATGGGACTCAGTCCCCAGCGAGCCCCCGCATTTGGCTCCACCTGGACTGACCTGGCACCTGATTTTCTCCCTCCCACCCCAGGTTTTGGTTTTGAAAGCTCATGCTCTTTCCCTCCCAGATATACAGATACTTCTGGAGTGGGCAAATTCGCATCAAAATTAAAACGAGTGATATTCTTACCTATCCCTGTTCCACAAAGTCCCTCCATGTGACCTTGCTTCTTTCAGAAGTGCTTTCGAGCGGGTCACCCTTCTGGTTGCATCGTGCGCTTTCTAGCCGGTGGCCCCTGGGACGCTGCCCACCCCCCGTACTT